AATTAAAAAGAAGTTCATTGAATAATTTAGATTTGAAAATATCTTGTATTTTGAGCAATTTAAAAAAATTTCAAGAAAAACTGCTACGAAATCTTAATAGAAATTATCAATTTAATTACTTACATTAAAAATAATATGAAAAAAGGAAACTAGAAAGGGGAAAAAATTTTTTTTTGTTAAATAATTTTAGATCTATTAGATTTTAAGGTTGGTATTTAGGAATATACTAAATAATTTCTATTTTTTTTTGTAAGATTAGCTTCTATACTGTGAAAGTAATTGGTCTATAAAAACTATTAAAGGAAGGTCAAGAAATACTACTTTTCTTAACTATCAATATTAATAAAATTTAGTTTTGACCGACAAGTAATCAGTTATTGCTTTATGTTAGAATAAATCTTTCAAAAATTGATTCTTTAGATTTTTATCTATTTAAATAGCATTCAGATAGTAAATAAATTTATCCATGCGATTCTAGGGGTTAAAATTATCAATTTAAAGTTACTTGCTTAAAAAAATTTTGCACTCAATTTCAATAAATTAATTAAAATGATTTTATTTTGATGATGATTCATTGAATTTCTTAACAGTTGTAGTTAACTATAGGTCTCTTCATCTTAGAAATATGTGCCTGTTTAATAATTCTTATATAAATTTGTTTTATAATGAAATTGAATTAAGGCTTGAAACTTTTACTTTTGGTAAAAAATTAAACTCAATAATATTATTTATCATCATTTTGGACTGTATTTATTTTAAGTTTAGTATCTTTTTAGGATAAGTTAATAATTTCATGTTCAGCCCAAGTCATAAAGTATCGAATCATTTTGATAGGATATTTCATGCCACGAGTTAGTTTAAAATTCTATATTTATTTGAGGGTATTACTGTCAGGGATTATATCCTATATTCTTATAGAAGAGTTTTTAATTCTATCCATTATCAAAATTTATATTATTGATATTATTGATTGATTGATAATCAAATGTCTGATGGGAAATCTCAAGCTCAATTTTATAAATTTAATAATATTGTTATTATTATTAGATCATTCTTATATTGAATAATTATTTCTTTTAATCTCAACAATTATTTTTTTTAATTTCATCATTTTTATTTAGACTAGAATGATCAAACGTAGAATATGATAAAGGAAAAAAAAGAAAATTTATTATTTTTGAGAGATAAAATATGAATTCTTTGTAATATATCGATTAATAGAACAAGAATAATATCACAGGATCGTATATATCAAAGAAAAAGAATAAGTAATAGGCCTAAGAACATTGTGGGTTACGATGACACAGAGAAGTGAAAAGAATAAAGCATTGATATATTTTCATCAGTTCTGTAGAAATAGAGAGGGTATTGATAGATACTTCCAAGAGTAACACTGAAACATATATAAAGTGATAGAACATAGTTTACCTTCTTCATAAATCCTTTAGGGTCAATACCATATTAGTAGGAAAGAATTATAGTTTAACTAAGAAAAACTTGATCAACTTAAAATAGAAGAAATACTATAAAAGTTCAATGGTAGTATTTAGCTAATACATAAATAAATCGAAGGAGACTTAAAAAGTGTATAAAAAATAAATTAAATCATAATAATTACTAGAATTATCAAGTAATCATCAATTCATATTTTTTAATATCTGCTAATGAAATCTATCTGTGATAATTAATTTAAAAAATTTTTTAAAGTATTTATTTAATATTTGTAAAAAGTAAGTTAGAATCGAATTAATAGAAAATCAATAAGGCCCATTTACTATATTTTAATCGCTTCTCACCTTATTTTCCTTCACCACTAATGTTTATTTTAAAAATTTGTTATACATATTCTTGTCTTAATAAAGATGTTTCCATGTTTCTTCCTTATAATTATCATTATATTTGCCTACTATATAAACTTTGCGTTACTAAATCTGAATATCAACAATACTCATAATAATTTTTGATCATTTCTTTCCAAATACCCTATTTTTTACCTTCTTGAGAGTACTAACCGCCTGATTTTTTTATCGATTCACCTTTCCAAGTCGCTCTCCATTATTCAACTTTTTTAGAATTTTTCCTAATTGCCCATTCGTAATTATTTATGATACTATAAATAACAGAATATGTAGCTTTAGGTTAATTCAAATATAACAGGATAGGAATTGCAATAAAAAGCTTTAATATTTTTATGCAACCCTTGCTTCTCCAGATTTTATTTTATATTCATTATATTCATCATTCACATCCAGAAATCTCTTCTATTTGATTTTAATAAGGAAACGAAATGTTATATAATTCAATCCTATTATTTATCTTAAATTTTTCTATTTGCAACTTGATCAAAAATTAAAATTTTAAATATTTATTTTAATTATAAGAAATGGAATCACTTTGATCAAATAAATTAAAAAAATTAAGGAAATAGTGTAAAAAGATCAGTGTTTAATTTCAGGTACCACCTATAAATATGGGTGGCTAATTTTCAACTCCAAGTAAAATAAATGGTTGAAATAAAATATTAGATTAAAATTTATCAAAGATAAAAATAAAAATTTTTGTAAAGTTGCAATTGTTAAATAGTCATAATTAAGATCAATTTCAACCGACTATTATATTTTTTATTGTGGAGTTAGAAAATATTAATAATTTTAATCTGTTAATGCCTCAATAAAATTGATAAATGGATAGCATGTTAGAATGGAGAAAAACTCATATATGTTAATAAAAAGAGAGAATTATCTATCATATTTATAATGGTAAATCTACTAAATATAGAATGAAGGTTGTTAGATGGGATTTCATTCATTGCCAAACGTGATAATAAAGAATAAAAACAAACTTAAAAATTATATAATGAAAATTGTTTGGAGTAGGTAGAATAAATTATTTAATTAATTAGAGATTTATAGCTTATATAAAGCTGAAAAATTTTATGAATTAAAAATATTATATTTAATTAAAATATCCCTAATGATTTAAGAGAACAAATGTATAGAAGAGGGTCATCAATCTGAGTCAATCTTAGGTTTTTGCTTGAATTCAGATTGCAAGCATACTTCATTTTGTACAAAGTGCTTAAATTCTCCTCATCAGGATCATTTAGAAAGTTGCTTAAATTATGATGAAATAACAAGGTTTATTAATGAAATTGTCAATAAACAAACTTAAAATCTAGTCGTACTTTAAAAGATTAGCTAAGAAATTAAAGAAATTTTCTTAATTAACATTAAAAAAATGAGAATCGTTAATGAAGAAAATACATTTACTTAGAAATATAACAGTTTAATTAAACAATATGAAATCGTTAGAGAACATGTGGAAAAACTTTAGAAATTTATTGAAGATCTTGCAAATAAAGCATAATAAAAGAACTATCGTTATTTGAATTTAAGGTTAGAGATTATTCGAAGATACAAAAATGAAAATTATTATCAAAAGTAAAGTAAAAATATAGATATGATAAAACTGCTCGTTTATGCTATGTAATAGTCAACATCATAACATGATGAAAAGTTAAATAAAAAATAAGATAAAGAAGAATAGTTTTTATTAGAGGAAGGTTTATTATTATAATAAAATTTAGGAAAGAATTTAATTATTTAGAAATAATTTGAATAAGGTTTAATAAAAATTGAAAAAGCCTTAAAATTAAATGACAAATTCGATTAAGCATATCTATGGAAGGTAATTAAAAATATAGTATATATCTAGGTAATGCATTAAATGAAATGTAAAAATATGAAGAAGCTATTCAATGTTATAACAAGTCAATCGAAATTAACCCACAAAATGATAAAGTTTACTATAACAAATGTAATAATGTTTTGATATCATTTTAAATAGGTATTGCTTTAAATTAGATGAAGAGATATTTAGAAGCAATAGCATGTTATGATATAGCTATTGAAATCAATCCAAAAAAAGATTAATCGTATTATAATAAAGGTAATAAGTTGAGGATATTTAAAAAAGGTAATGCTTTAAGATTGATGAAACGTCATGTGGAAGCAATAGCATGTTATGATACTTCTATTTAATTTAATCCTAAATAATATGAAGCCTACAATAACAAAGGTAATAAATTTTGATATTTATGTTTAAAGGTTATTCACTATATGAGATGAAAAAATACGAAGAAGCTATTAATTGTTATGATTAATCGATCAAAATTAATCCTTTTAAAGATTAAGCCTACTTAAATAAAGGTAGGAAAGTTTTGATATTTATGTTAATAGGTGTTGCATTAAATGAATTGAAACGATATGAAGAAGCTATTGCATGTTATGATTAGGCAATTGGTATTAATCCGCAAAATGATAAAGCTTACTATAACAAAGGCAATAATTTGTTGATATTCATATTTAATAGGTATTTCATTAAATGAAATGAAGAAATATGAAGAAGCTATTATATTTTATGATAAATCGATTGAGATTAATCCTAAAAAAGATTAAGCTTATTTAAATAAAGGTAATAAAATTTTGATTTTTTTATTTAACAGGCGTTGCACTAAGCCAAATGAAATTATATGAAGAAGCGATTGCATGTTATGAAGAATCCATTTAATTAAATCCTAAAAATGAAATAGCACGCATTAATAAATGTAAATATGTCATACTATTTAAATAGAATCTGCAATAAATATTTAAAATTAAATCAAAAAGCAATAAAGAATTATGAAATACAAATATTAATAATAACTAATATGAAATATGTTTTGTTATTCAAACAAATTCTCGCATTCAATTAAACTTACTTTCTTTTTATTCTTATATGTCCTTATGATTTGATTAGATTTTTTCTCTTTCTTATCATATAAAAAAATGATATTCTTAGAGATCATAGTTGATTTACTATAATAAAAATACTATAGCATGAAAAAGTTTAACTTAATAGTCAATTCACCAACAAACTAAAATTTTCCTAAATTCTAAATAATATTATAAAAGCTAATATTACCATTCATCAATTTTTAATAAAAAAATTTTTATTTTTTTTATCATCTAAATAATGAAGGTTATTTTTCAAAATGGGATTGATAATTTATTAGTTTAAAATATGAAAAATAATTATAATTGAATAAATTTTTGAAATATATAGAAATATATTTTAATAAGTTTTGATGGATCATAAAAGTCTTACCAAAAATCACTTTAGCAATTAAAAAATTAAATGAAGATTCAATCAAACTTTTTTTTGATTCCATAAGACCATTTCAAAAATGACCATCTCTAATTGATTTGATATACTTAAAATACAGAAAATTATTGGATCGAAGATTGAATTTTCATCCATTAGAATATATTTAGATTTCAAGAGTTTTTATGGAAAATACATGGTACTTAAGTTATCACTTTATTATTTGTATTTTCTAATTGAATGTAAAATTTTCATTTTCAATTGATAAATAAGTTTATCAGTGGAATGAAATTATTAATAGTAACTCTTGTAAATTAATATGTAATCAAATTATAAGTATGAAAATTATTCAAATAGTGGTGAAATTTGTCAAAAATATTAATTACGGGAAGGAGAGCCAAGCAAACTAAAAATTATCTCAAAATAAAATTATTACCAATTCAATAATCTGAATTCTAAAAAATAACAAAATAACAATTTTGTTTAATTTATCTTTTAATATAGATACTATTCAAATATTATATTTCATCTCTCCTATTTTTTTATTTTTTTTTATATCTATTTCTACCCATGTTCCAACTTTTCTGCCTTCCTCATTATATTGGCCATCATAAATTATTTTTTACTATGACTACCAATATTCCCCAAAATTATCGCACAACTCAATCCATTTACCAATCTTTACTTAAATTCCTTCATATTCTTTATAAGATCCTCCGCCACTAACTTAATATTATTTTTACATTTTCTTTCCCTCATAATCAATATTCCACCTACCTATTTTGTAACCATTCATAGCATNAAAGTTTAACTTAATAGTCAATTCACCAACAAACTAAAATTTTCCTAAATTCTAAATAATATTATAAAAGCTAATATTACCATTCATCAATTTTTAATAAAAAAATTTTTATTTTTTTTATCATCTAAATAATGAAGGTTATTTTTCAAAATGGGATTGATAATTTATTAGTTTAAAATATGAAAAATAATTATAATTGAATAAATTTTTGAAATATATAGAAATATATTTTAATAAGTTTTGATGGATCATAAAAGTCTTACCAAAAATCACTTTAGCAATTAAAAAATTAAATGAAGATTCAATCAAACTTTTTTTTGATTCCATAAGACCATTTCAAAAATGACCATCTCTAATTGATTTGATATACTTAAAATACAGAAAATTATTGGATCGAAGATTGAATTTTCATCCATTAGAATATATTTAGATTTCAAGAGTTTTTATGGAAAATACATGGTACTTAAGTTATCACTTTATTATTTGTATTTTCTAATTGAATGTAAAATTTTCATTTTCAATTGATAAATAAGTTTATCAGTGGAATGAAATTATTAATAGTAACTCTTGTAAATTAATATGTAATCAAATTATAAGTATGAAAATTATTCAAATAGTGGTGAAATTTGTCAAAAATATTAATTACGGGAAGGAGAGCCAAGCAAACTAAAAATTATCTCAAAATAAAATTATTACCAATTCAATAATCTGAATTCTAAAAAATAACAAAATAACAATTTTGTTTAATTTATCTTTTAATATAGATACTATTCAAATATTATATTTCATCTCTCCTATTTTTTTATTTTTTTTTATATCTATTTCTACCCATGTTCCAACTTTTCTGCCTTCCTCATTATATTGGCCATCATAAATTATTTTTTACTATGACTACCAATATTCCCCAAAATTATCGCACAACTCAATCCATTTACCAATCTTTACTTAAATTCCTTCATATTCTTTATAAGATCCTCCGCCACTAACTTAATATTATTTTTACATTTTCTTTCCCTCATAATCAATATTCCACCTACCTATTTTGTAACCATTCATAGCATATTCACCTTGATAAGTCACTTAAGAAGATTTCTTAAACCCCTCCAGCAATTCTATCCATCTCCCAATCTTTTTTGAGTCTACTTCTTTCTCCTTATATTATCCACCACCACTTACATAATTTTAAGCTTTTTTACATCTTATAAAATGGTTTGTCAAAGTCATCTCTATATTTGATATCCCATCTACCTTTTTTTTCTCCATTCAAATTATATTCACCATTGTAAGTGACTTAACACTCATCCCTGAAATTATCTATTAACTCAATCCATCCTCCTTTCTTTATTGACACTCCATCTTATTCAATATAAGTTCCACCACCTCTAAAGTAGCTATAATTAATACATTTATTTATATTCTTGCTCATATTCTCCTTTATACATAGTCTCCCATCGATCAATCTTGTTACCTTTCATATTATATTCACCATTATAAATGACTTAACTACAATCCCAAAATCCTTCCCATTCCTCACTCCATCTACCTATTTTCTTTGAACTTCCTTCCTGCTCATCATATAATCCACCCCCACTTATATATATTCTTAAATCTTACATCTTAATGAAGGGCTCGTTTTAGTCATATCTATGCAATATATCCCATTTACCTTATTTTTCTCCATATTTATTATACTCACCTTTATAAGTGATTTAATTCCTCCACTAAAATCCATCTGATATTTCAATCCAACTCCCAATCTTTATTGACCCTTTTTATTACCCATCATATTATCCTCCACCACTAACATAATTTCAACTTTTACATTTATTTATATGATTTTTCATTATTTTTACATTACATGATATCCCATTTGCCAACTTTCATACCTGATTTAGTATATTCACCTTTATAAATGATTTAATTCTAGCTAGAAATATGCGAAATCATATTTACTTCTAAAATCTATTGCTAATTTCTATCCATTTACCATTCTTCTGACCAAATTCATTATAGAATCCCCCACCACTAAATAATTTATTTATATTATATATTACATCATTTCATTTTTATAAATATATTACCATCTTCCATGTTTTTTATCGTTTATGAATTCTCCAACTTAATATACAAGAGCTTAACTAATTTTGATTCATTTTCTACATATACCTACAATAATTATTAATTATTTCTTTCCATATCCCTGACTTTGCTCCATTTTCTAGATAAAATCCACCTACTTTTATGATTTTTTCTTTATTCCAATTTGCTGTCCATTTAGCAACCTTATTAAAATTATCATTATAATTTCCAAACCATTCAAGATATTAGATTTATTCTAAATTACTAAAAAGTTCAGGTCGAGCAGAAAAATTTTTTTATTGCCTATTATAATTATCATTAAATATTTTACATTCTAATTAATTATCCCTAATAAAAATATCTGAAGTACTTATCTTTAGTATAATTAATAGAGTATTGTTTCTTCAGCCATCTGTTTGAATCTTAATCTAAAAGAATACATTCATATTCATTGGTGTTATCTGAAAATCTATTAATACAATTTTTTTACTCTATTTCTATTAATCTTTTTATTTATTTGAGCAAATTGTTCCCATTTCCATATATAAAAAAATAATATTTAAATTTGAGTTTTTAATTCAGTTTTGAAAAAAAGATTTGATATAAATATAAAGAAAAAGGTTGCATAAATATATTATAGCTTTGATTGGCATTGTTATTCCCTTAAATATGGGAAACTCTGAATTATAAATCAATCCATCATGGGAGATTTTTAGAAAGATATAAGCCATCAATACATTTTATAATGAAAATTTTATGATCAATAAGAATTTTTAATAATCTAATCTTCTCCAAAGTTCAAGTTTTTAGATCGATAATTTTTAAATAGATTGATAGGTCAAATTTTAAGATTTCTTTATTTTAATGAATTTTTGATTTAAAACATGAAATAAATATGTTAATTTGTGATGTAGTTAAAATTCTTTTTTCAAAAGTATAATTGACTATTTAGAATCATCTTTATCAATTTTACATATGTAGCACTAAATTTATCATCTATCAGAAAGGTTTTAAATTTAATATAATTTATAATATAGAGATAAATGATATTATTTAATATATATTTAATTATATAAAATCCAATTAGGCTCTATCATTAAAATATTTGGTGTAATATTATCTGTTTTACATCAGATAATTCTTTAAATAAATATCTGGTGGCAAAAATCCATCTTTGATTTCAACAGGAG